GACAGTAAGTCTTAATTAGAAGCGGCTGCTGTTTTGCAACAAGCAAATGACAGCGTCTGCTCCTGTCACTCCACACTGTTCACAGTAGGATGTGTACACCCAGACAGCCGAGTGGTTACTTTGGCTTTTTATTGTGTAAATTGGTTTTGATTCTTTTAAATTATACTTTATTCCCAACAATACCTCCTGTCTTTCTTTCCCTACGTTAAGGACATCTCTCTCTTTTTTTTCCTTCTTTTCTTAAAAGATTAATTTATTTTTATTTGAAAGGCAGATTTACAGAGAAAAGGAGAGACAGAGATCTTCCAGCGCTGGTTCACTCCCCAAATGGCTGCGGTGCCTGGAGCTGAGCCGATCCAAGGCTTCTTCTGGGTCTCCCACATGGGTGAAGGGGCCCAAGAACCTGGGCCATCCTCTGCTGCCTTCCTGTGCCATTAACAGGGTGCTGGATGGGAAGTGGAGCCGCTGGGACGTGACCTGGTCCCCATGTGGGATGCCAGTACCAGAGATGAAAGATTAGTGAACTGTGCCCACGGCACCAGCTTCTGGATTCGATTGAAAGTCAGCCGATTATCTTGGCACATATATTGGGAAATCCAAACTCTGTCTTATGATCTGAAGTACTTTCTTTCCGCAGTCATTCCTCAGTTTGTGGCTTGTCTTCCATCTGATGAGTGAATTTTTTTTCATGCCTCTGTTAAATTTTTCTGCTTGTTACAACACCTTGACCTTGGTGTTTAACTGAGAAAAAAAAATTCTGTGATCATTTTCTAAATTTTTAAAAAAGGCATATTTATCTGACAGACTTACAGAAAAAGAGAGAAACAAAGAGAGGCAGCAATCTTTGGTCTGCTGGATCACCTGCCAGGTGGTCAAGTGGCCGCAGTGGCTGGCCAGAGCTGAGCCAGTTTGCAGCTGGGAGCCAGGATCTTCTTTTAGGTTTCCCACATGGAGGCAGAGGTCTGATGACTTGAGCCACCTCCACTGCTTTCCCAGGCCGCAGGCAGGGAGCTGCACGGAAGGTGGGGCAGCCAGGATACAAACCAGCGCCCGTATAGGATCCCTGTGCTTCTGGCCCCTTTTCCAGGTGAAGCAGGGAGCTGGATTGGAAGTGGGAGCAACTGGGATTCAAACTGATATCCATGTGGGTGGGATGCCAGCACTGCAGGCAGTTGCTTTACCTGATACACCACAGTGGCCAATACCCTCCTCTCCCTGCCTAGAAAAATTGTTAGCAACTTTACCTTCCCCCTTTTGATGAAATCTGTATTGGAGAATCTATAGCCATTCAGGCACCTTCCTTTCTGGAAGTAGTCTTTCTTTAGACCTCTGGTTACTGAAGTCGGTGTAATATCTCCCAGCTGTGGAATATGTATTTTTTTTGGTGAAGATTATGCACATCTTTTGGTAAATTCAATCTTAAGTGTTTCGTGTTTTGCTGATCACTTTCAGGATTTCTTCCTTGTGTGTCAGCCAGGGCCAGTAGGGCTTTCTGTAAATGCTTTTGGTTACTGGCCAGGTGGTCTTCTCCCGCAGTGTTCACCCCCGTGGCTGGGGACTGCCCCGAAGCGGTTGATGGGTGGTGGTTGATGGCTGGTGGCTTCTCCCTGTGTCTGGCCTCACACTGGATGCTCATACAGGGTACTCATGCTGGACCACATGCAGACCACCCAGGCGTGAATTGTTGCTGGCTTCACCTGGAGCCACTCACAGACTCCTGCTTCTGCATTTGGCATCTCTGGACACGGTCCCCCTCTGGTCTTTTCCCTTTGGCCACTTTGTACTCTGAGTCCCGTGATCGTGGTGATGTCAGCATCCCGGATGTGGCCCTGACATTTCCGAGTTTGTCCTACTGCAATAAGCTTTGATGGAAGGGTATTAAAAGGGAATGGCTGTTGACGTTACATCAGATGCTGCTGCTGCTTCTGTTTTTTTAACGCACAGCATTTCTCATTTCACCAATTTGGGGCAGTTTCACCTATAGGTTGTGGGTTCCATGACAAGTCAGAGTTGCCTCCTGCTCCAACCCTTCAGCTGGCTGGCTGGGCTGGCCACATGGATGCCATCTCCAAGTTTGTCCAGAGTCCGCTCAGTGGAAAGAAGGGAGGAGAGAGGTGGTGCCCATTTTCCAGAGGAAATCAAAAGTGAAGACCAGAAGGACCAGGCAGGGGGCAGAGCTGGGTAGCCTCGTTTCTATCCAGCCTGGGAAAGAATCTGGATCCAATCCCCAAGCCAGTTACGAAGCTGTCAGCAAGCATGATCATGCGTGGCATGTGACCATGTAGTTTGCCACAGGGACAGGTGTTTAAGAAGCATCGAAGTGCCAGCTCAGTGTCTGCACAGTGATGGTGTGATGTGTGGTGACATGCGCCATGCAGTGGCTGTGTGGTTGTGAGGGTGCAGATGGCAGATGGGGGGCAGGCTTCTGTCTGAGAAAGGCACTCGGCTGTGGTCTCTGCCCTGCAGACCCCTAGAAGTCACAAGGAGGGAACCTGGAGATGGCGCTGCTGCCAGCCAAGCCTGTTCCTACTGTGGGTGCCCCTACCGGGGGCCTTCACCCTTTTGTCTTGATGGCAGAATAGCGCCAGGGACAAGTCAGCAGCACCGGCTACAGTTCCAGTCCTTACCTGTCATCCCTGACCTCCTTTCCTAACTTGTCCAAAACTCATCTCCACTTGCGCAGAGCTGCTGTGCCAATCTAGAAGTACTGTGCTCATTTGCTGGAAAAAGGTATCACCAGTTATTAACGAGAGGTCATGACATGCCTGGCGTGCACAGGCGCCCATGGCCAGGAAGCTGCTCTGGTCACTGTCAGAATCCTTCATCCCTCAGGCCCTTCCTCTCCTGCATTGAGCTGTCAGCGACCAGCCAGCCAGTGCACCTGCTTACTCACCAGTGGGAAGATGGGCTCCGGAGCACCTTGGGAAGGTGTCGGATTCTCCGGAGACTTCCTTGCCACTCTGTCCTCTCTCCATTCCTTTCATTTCCTGACCTTGGCATTGGCCCACATGCAAGTTTGTCCCAGGTGGAGGAAACCCTCTGTTCTCGGGCTGGCGTGTGGTTTGTGACCTCCAGGTCTTTTCGTCACCCTTGTGCCTAAGTGCCCGTGTGTGGCATTCTCTAGCAGCTGGGCATTGTCTCAGCCATTTCCAGGGGTACATTTCTTTCTCATTGTCATCCTCTCTTCTGTCCCCCAACTTCGGGTTTTTCTCCTGGAGACTGTCTTAGAACATCTCTGCCCTGGACTTGCTTTGTCCTCATGTCTTCCTGTGAGATTTCCACAGGGTGTTGCAGGGAGAGGCAGCTGAGGGGTATTGGTGGTCCCTCGTGTAACCAGTCAAGGTCGGAGGCCTGGGCTCAGCTAGGCAGTTTGGCCTGGGTGGTCCTGCCAACGGGATAGTTATTGTGGGCTAGGGCTGCTGCCGTGGGTATGTGCGTCTAGAATCCCAAAATCCTCAACCTAGGAGAATTATACCTGCTTTAGAGTCCTATCCTACCCAGGATGTGAAAGCCATTTGGGTTTGCTGATGGGTGGCGGCAGTGGAACTGGATGCCTAGTCTTTTTTGCTTGTTGCTGTGAACATGAGTGTGATGTGTGGCCCTGTGAAAAAATCTGGTCGTATTTGATTGCGTGTCTTGGGGAAACATGAGCTCCAGGAGGCCCAGGTCAAGGTCTGAAGTGGCTCCCTCAGCAGGGTCTGCTTTTTGAGGATCTTGGCAATGTCCTGTGCAAGGTTGGCCATCGCACACACAGGTGTGAGCAGCCAGTAGCTCTCTGCAGCTGTAGCTGGACCTCAGCTTGCACCTGCAGGGCAGCACAAGCACCCAGGCTGAGTGCCGCTCTCCAGGTCGCCGTGGATGTGACTGTAGTGACATGCTAGCTGTGCATGAAGGTGCAGCCCAGGACGGCGACATTGGAAGTGCCTGGCATGCGGACCGGCCTCTCTGTCTCCTGGCTGGGATGTGACATTCTGACGATTGTCTTCTTCTTGCTCTCCAACTACAATGCTTGCAAATGTTTTCTAGTTTTATTTTCCTATTTTTTTATTTTAATTTATGTTACATTTTCTCCTGGCTCATCGGAAGTATTGGTTGAAGAAGTGTCCTGTTCGTGGGAGTTCCTCACAGGCCTGTCTTCACCGTGGTGGGATGGATATTGGGTCTTGGTGGGAAGTAAGGTGGATACCCCACTTAGCATGCCCGAGTGCCCTGTGCATTATGTGTCTCTGCATGGAAATCCAGGCATCTCTAGGCATGTCTTTGTTGTTGGTGTGCCAACCCTGTAGTGGATTGTTTGTGCCGTTTGGTTTGCAAAGCCAAGTTTCCCAAGCGCTAGTTCTTTCATGGTATGGAGTTGTCTTTCTCCACCCCGTCCCCGGCTTCATTGGAACTTGGGTGCTTGGGAACTTGGCCTCCTGCTTCAGAAGTGGGTTAGAAATTGGACCCGGAATATTGGGCTTCTGTCAGACGTGAAGCCTCGCGGGTGTCGTGAGCGACACTTTGAGTCGAGGGATGCTCGTCCCGGCGACGGGAGCCTGGACCCTCTCTGTGGCCGTGTTCTTTCAGAGAGGGTTTGGCGGCTTCTGGTGAAACGTACTTTTCTGAAACCTCAAATGATGATTAGAAGTTAGTTTTGCCAGGGCAACACCGAGGGCATTTGCACAGGCGTCTCTTGTGTGAGATGGAGCCTGGGTGTCCCTTAGAGCAGGAAGGCGGTGCCACCCAGAGCCCCTCCCTCGGCCCCCCACGGCAGGTGAGCCACGCCTGTCCTGCACCGCGATGCGCCTCAAGGAACTGCACTCCTGCGCACTACTGTTTTAATCCAGTTTGAGGGTATTTCTGAGTCGACGTGTGACTGTCTATGGGGAGGGGGGTGTTTGTGGAAGGAGCCTCTGGGTGTTTGTGACTGGTAGCAGGACTGTCTCCTGTGTAGGAGTCCCACCTGGCCTCGTGTGTTGCCTGTGTGCACTGAGATGATCCGGCTACATTCTCTCTTCCAGGTTGTGAGACATGGCGCCCACGGGTCTCCTGTCCGCCTGAGGTTCGGTGCTCCAGGCCCCGAGAGAGCTGACGCAGATCCCAGGCTCCCGGCTTGAGCAGGCTGTCCAGCCCGTGTGCCCCCGTGGCTGTGCCGAGCTGCCCACTTGCTCTTGATGATGGGCATCGGCAAGAACACCACATCCAAGTCCATGGAGGCTGGAAGCTCGACTGAAGGCAAATATGAGGACGAAGCAAAGCATCCCACCTTCTTCACTCTTCCGGTAAGGAGATCCCCTGTCTTGGGTTTCCGTTCTTCCTGGGCTGCTGGACCGTATTTCTCTAAGAGTTGGTGCAGGATGGGCTATGAGACTCGGGTGTTTAGTTAAGGTTAAGGCAGGCAAGAATAAAATGCTTTCCGTGTCAGACATTCTTAGAGTCTTGCTCGTAACTTACAGGACTCACCTGCTGGATGAACTCCAGGGAGGAAAACATGCATGGCAGTTCCTGTGTGAAAACCAAGCAAGTGGTTCTTACTGGATACCGGAGGGGGTTGAGGGTTAATTTTTTTTTTAATCTCCAACATGTGCTTTTGCTAAATAAAGTCCAGCCCTTGCTGAGTAAACCCATCCTCAAGATGTTTTGCAAAGTGGGAGGATGATGGCCCAGATGAGTTTGATAGCACACGTTGGTTGTGTTCAACAGTGAAGTCTTCCCCGGGCACACAATCATGATGTGATAGGAGTGGAGTTACCTGTGCGTTGTTAATTCCAGAAAGGAGGGGAACCAGCACCTGCAGGTGTTTTTCTCATGATACTGGAAGTGTGGCCAGAATACCAGTCTGGGAGTCCTTAGCACGTGATTGTGGAATTTATTCCTGGGTGAGAAAGTCATGGCAGCAGACATGGCATCGAGGTGGGCATCTTGAAGTGAGTTGGCTGGCAGTTCGCATGTGTGTTTGGAACCTTCCTGCACTGACTCTCGGGTGCTCGGCTGGTCCACGTCATTCATCATTATTTCTCCTATTTCACCTGTAAAGTGAAATTCGCCAACAGGGTTTTCTGTGATATGGAAGGCCCGTGGTTGGCGTTGGTTTTCTAGGGGAGGAAACGTGTTAGGATGCTCCGGTTTAAATTGGGTCAGCTTTGCTGCTTTCCTCTGGGGTTAATAGCTTGTGCCTGTTAGGGCTTCTCTGCCCCCCGACACCCCCAAAATAGCCCAGTGGATTATTCACTCGCATCCCCTTGTCTTGGTGTTATGGTCCGATGTTTATTTTTACTTATTTTGGTATTAACATTGTGGTAGTCCCTCTAGCTCACCAGCGTGTGTTACCAATTGTCAAGTGCCTGGGTGTTTCCTGCTTCTGTCTCCTTTCCCTTAGTTCAGTTTTAGAATACCTTGGGGGTCTGTAGTTACTGCCCTAGTACTTGTATATTCTTTAATTTTTCTTTAAAGATTTATTAGACAGATATACAGAGAGGAGGAGAGACAGAATGGAAGATCTTCCATCTGATGATTCACTCCCCAAGTGGCTGCAATGATCGGAGCCGAGCTGATCTGAAGCCAGGAGCCAGGAGCTTCTTCCGGGTCTCCCACGTGGGTTTGGGTTGTCCTCTACTGCTTTCCCAGGCCACAAGCAGGGAACTGGATGGGAAGTGGGGCTGCTGGGACATGAACCAGCACCCATATGGGATTCCAATGCATACAAGGCAGGAACTTTAGCTACTAGACTACCATGTTGGGCCCAACTCTTTTAATTTTCATTATAAGATTATTAGGCACGGCATGGTAGCCTAGTGGCCAAAGTTTTCACCTTGAAAGCACCAGGATTCTATATGGGCGCCAGTTCTAATCCTGGTGGCCCTGCTTCCCATCCTGCTCCCTGCTTGTGGCCTGGGAAAGCAGTCGAGGACGGCCCAAAGCCTTGTGACCCTGCACCTGTTTGGAAGGCCCAGAGCAGGATTCGGGCTTCGGGTTTGTTATGCTCCAGCTGTTGCAGCTGCTTGGGGAGTGAATCAATGAAAGATCTTCCTCTCTGTCTCTCCTCCTCTCTATATATCTGACCTCCCAATAAAAATAATTTTTTTTAAAAAAAGACTGGATTATTTATTTGAAAGGCATCATTACAGAGAAGGGGGCAGAGAGAGGTAGAAAGATCTTCCATCCACTGGTTCTCTCCCCAGATGGCTGTAATAGCCAGAGCTGAGTCAATCCAAAGTCAGGAGCCCGAAGCTTCTTTCAGGTCTCCCAAGGGTGCAGGGACAGCTGGGCTGTCCTCGGGTACTTTCCCAGGAGCATTAGTAGGGAGCTGGATCAAAAGTGGAGCTATAGGACCCAAACCAGCACCCATATTGGATGCTCGCATGGCAGGTAGTGGCCCCACCTACTTTGCCACACTGCCAGCTCCTGTGTAACTCCTTTTTTTTAAAAAAAAAATATTTATTTTATTTTTATTTAAAAGGCAGATATACAGAGAGAAGGAAATCCAGAAAATAAGATTCTGTCCTCTGGTTCATTAACTGACCACAGCAGCCGGAGCTGAGCTGATCCAAAGTCAGGAACCAGGAGTTTCTTCTGGGTCTCCCTCGCAGTTGCAGGGTTCCAAGGCTTTGGGCCATCTTCTACTTCTTTCCCAGACCACAAGCAGGGAGCTGGATGGGAAATGGAGCAGCCGGGTTTGGAACCGGTAATCGTGTGGGATCCCGGAGGATGCAAGGCAAGGATTCAGCCAGTAGGCTACCACACTGGGCTCCCTTGTACAACTCTGAAGAGTGGACTTCTCTCGAGAGGAATGGTCCGTTTGTGTCTGTGTTTGATTCTTGATTCCTTGTGTGTGTGTGTGTGTGTGTGTGTCCTCTGATTCCGACTGCCTCTAGGACCTGGTCTTTCCCTTTTCTAGACCAGAGTCGGAACCAGGTCTTGCTCACTGTCTCCTTGGAAGGCTGACCATGTCCTGACACGGTGGGGGCACCTGGTGTGTAGGAGCACCCCTGCCCCAGCCCCTGCCCTGTGCGGGGCCCCCTGCTCGTTGTTCCCCCATTCAGGTTAGAGCCAACCTCAGTCACCGATGTGTGTTTCTTGGTCCTTCACTTGTGGCCCTTGCGTACTTTGGGCTTTTCTCCCTCTCACTGGGTTTGGGAAGGAGCACTCATTTCTGGATCCATTTTCCAATGAGGATGTGGATGTAACACATCATGGGATATAAAATTAATGTAATTATATGGTTGATTTAATGCTGGAGCGGTTTAATGGAAGAACATTTATAGAATTTTTATCGCTGTCCAGGGCTTTAAAAGGAAGCATTAAAAAGGGAAAAGAAAAAGATATTTAAAATCACCCTCGCTTAAGCTACAAAGAATGAAAACAAAGTCGCAGTTGGGAGACTGAGCAGCCGGGGAGAGAGAAGGCCTTGGGAAGGACTGAAGGGCCAGCCCGGGATGCGCAGCGGGACTGGGCATCAGGGAGGACGTGGATTCCCAGCATCCTCCGTGCCTGAGAAGAGGAAGGGGAAGGCGGAGAAGTAAGCTGAAGGCACAGCCTGTCCATGCAGGCCTTGGGAAACGGTTCACGTGGTGGGATTTGGGGGTGTGGAAGGTTTTGTTAGAAAGAGCGACATCACAGAATGAGAACAGGTGCTCCGCTGTGCCCGTGTTTAATCTCAGGCACCTCTCACATTGAAGTGGACCTGCTGCTGTGGGCACTGAGGCATATGACATGGCTGTCCCCGGCTCCTTCACACCGCCTGCTTGTAGGGTGGTATGGTCATTCCCTGTTCTCTGTGCTCCAGGGGAGTGTCTGTCCTACCCCAGCCCTCCATGCCAGTGCACATGCTTCACAGAGTCCCATGGGGTGAGAGCTGTATGTGGCCCCTGAGGCAGAATTAGAGAGAGAGAGAGAAGAGAAGGAGGCATCTTCCATCTGCTGGTTCATTCCCCAAGTGACCCCAGTGGTTGTGGCTGGGCCTGGCTAAAGCGAAGAACCCAGAAATCAATTCTGGTCTCTCCTGAGGGTAACAGGGAGGCAAGTACTTGAACTGTCACGCTTTGGCAAAAAATGTAGGTGGACCTGAGGTTGGGGGTGTTCTCCTAGCGCCTGCAGACACAGGGTTGTGGGGCCCCAAGCAGAGCCGGGAGCAGGGGGATGGGCAAGGTGAAGGCTGCTGGTTGGGGCTGTGTGGGAAGCGAGGAGGGTCAAGGGCTCACACCTGGCGGCTTGGGGTGCTGTGCCAGGTGCCTCTGGCTGCCAGTACTGTATTTCACCCTGTTCCTTGAACGTGTAGCCAGCACGGGACTGCCTTTTTCTCTGCATCTGTGCTATTCACTGTACTAGCTGGTGGCTACAGGTGGCTATTTTCTTTAGAGGAATTCAACTGGAGTGAGTCAGTCTCTCCTGGATTGTACTTGGCAGCCGTTCCCTGGCTCTGCTGTGTCCATGGTCGAACCCTTGCCAGACTGAGTGCAGCCTCGTGTTCCTCCATATGCTTTGGAGTCCAGAGCTGGGCCCGGGGCTGCTGGCTGGGCACGTGGCGTTAGGACAGGTGCACTACAGGGTGTAGATTCTGGCTGCTCCTCTTGAGTCCGGCCATGAGTTAAATCTGTCGATGTCGGTGGCCAGGGGCCTGGGGATTGAGGTTGTCATCACTGGGGATTATTCTTCTTCTTGTTTTTTTTTTTTTTTTTTAACTCACGGAAAGGAAGCAAGAGCTCTTTTGAACAAAATAAAGCAAGGATCCTAAGCAGTAAGTGGGAGCAAATCCATTCCTGGAAGAAGACAACAGGAGAGGTCCCAGCGAGGGCGTGAGATGCTGGACTCCTCCAGTTCAAGGTCAGAGCGCAGAGCGGCACTGGACGTTCATGGCAGGTCCATGAGATGCCCTGCAGGCACCTCTGCAGGGTTTTAGGAAGCTAGGAGATGTGTGACAGGGCAAGAATAGCCTGGTGGGATGCTGGAGCCACAAAACCACAACAGGAACTCAAGCACAACTCCCAGGCCCTTGGGACCGTGGCCTGGAAGTGCAGCCAGGAAATGATCGTGTGTTCCAGCCTCTGTTCGTGGCCCTCACGCCATCTGAACCAGGACCTGATTTATGGCCTGGATTTCCTGTTGGCACAGGCTTATCGGCCATAGCACCTGCGGATTGCACGTTTGGCACTCCAAGTGGGGGGACTGCATCCCTGGGGCCCGTAGTCCTCTGGCTTCGGTGAGAGTGTTTGGGTTTCAGGCCACAGGTTCTGTGTGTGAAGAGGGGGACGGTCCGGACAGAGAGGTCGTCGCTTCAGCTGCAGGCTCATCCAAGTGGGAGAAGCGCTCACAGGCTGTCCCAGAAAGCTCGCAGCTTCTCTTGGCCTCCCGAGGTGTGCAGAGTGGGCTCAAGAAGGGACCCCAGGAGGAGCCACTTGGGGTTCAGGAGGGGACAGGTGGTGGACCAGTACACAGGCCCTGTTAGTGCAGGGTGCTAGCGAGAGGTGCTGGGGGCAGAGGCCGTGGGGCACTTGCCCCAGGTTGCTCCTTGGGTGCTGGGACCACAGTAGGCCAGGGAGGGAAGGTGAGTCGGGGAGTTAGGGCAGTCCGGGTTACAGCCTGGGAGGGACATCCCCGAGGCTGCAGCCTGAGCAACTGTGTAGGGGAAAAGCACCCAGTGCCAGTTAGGAGCTTGTCCAGTTAGCCCAGCCTGTTGGAGACCAGGAAAACTAAGTTGACAGCTGAGTCAGAGAACACCCCCAATTTCCTCATTGAGGGACCCCATAGCATTGCTAATTCAGGAGACAGATTTATAAAACTACAACTTTGGATTTAAACAATTTTAGGGGGAGGAGAAGCATCTTGTTTCCAAAGGGGTCGAACATAGTCTGCCAGCATTTTTTTAAAAAGATTTATTTATTTATTAGACAGTCAGATATACAGAGAGGAGGAGAGACAGAGAGAAAAATCTTCCGTCCATTGATTGACTTCCCAGGTGGTCGCAATGGCCACAGCTGTGCGAATCCGAAGCCAGGATCCAGGAGCTTCTTCCAGGTATCCCACGCAGGTGCAGGGTTCCAAGGCTTTGGGCCGTCCTCGTCTGCTTTCCCAGGCCACAAGCAGGGAGCTGGATGGGAAGTGGAGCAGCCGGGATTAGAACTGGAGCCCATATGAGAACCTGGCACATGCAAGGTGAGGACTTTAGCCATTAGGGTATTGCGCCAGGTCCCTGGGCCCCTTTTCTTTGCCACAGCCGTCCACTGTCCAGCTGTTGGCCTAATGGCCATCTGAAGCATTCTGACCGTGGTGTTCTTGGGGTGTGTTGGAGCCCAGTATCATGCTTGTGTGTCCTTCTGTGTGAATCTGGCACTCACTGTGCAAAGAGAAGCTGTTGGTGGCCGGACAGCACCCTGCTTGCAGTGTGCGCGAGTGTATGAGTCAGCGGGAATGGCTAAGTCTTGCCAAGATCTGCCTTCTTTGGTGCTGTATAGATTAAAGGGTTAGGTGTTCGGTCTAGTGGTGTTTGGGATACCTGCATCCCATATCAGTTCCCAGTGTCAGCTCCTGACTCGGCATCCGCGCTGGCTGACGTGGTTGGATTCCTGCCCGCTGTAGGGGAGATCTCTGTTGAGATGCTGGCTGCTGGCTTTGGTGGCCTGATTCGGCCCCAGCTATTTCAGCCCTTTGCGGAGTGAACCAAAAGAGGACAGCACATAGGTGTTTACTGTTGCTCGCTCAAAAAATATTGAAGTTTTCATAACATAAAATTAGCCACTCATTTATTTTTAATAACTTTTTTTTAAAAAAGAGAAATATGTGTTTGTAAGGCAGAAAGACGGGTGGTAGGGAACACTGCCAATATCTGGTTCGTTGCCTGGATATTCACAATGGCAAGGGCAAAAACTGGAGCCCCAAATCCGGTCCAGATCGCCCTGGATTGGGGGTGGCGGGAACCCGTGGCTGGGCCATCATGACTGCCTCCCGTAGATAGCAGGAGGCTGGGGATCAGGAGTGGGATCGGGCCTTGAACCCACGCATCTGACGTGGGATGCAGGGGTCTGCACTGCTAGGTTGAATTCTCCCCCTTCAGAGTGAACAGTCAGTGATATTGACACCTTGTTTCCACTCCACAAGGATCCCTGAAGGTCGGGTTTAGCTAGCACAGATCCCTCAGTTATTCTGGACTTCTGATGCTTTAGAAACTCCATGTGGTTTGTCTTAGGAATTCATCCTGATGGGTGGCCCTCTGGGCTGCTCAGGGTGGGATTCTGCCCTGCCTGTGGGTGTGGGAGGTTGGCTGGGACCGTGTTTCCTGCCAGCAGCTCGTTTTACAGGCAAACCGACAGTGCAGCTGCAGCTGGCCTATGCAAGAAGCGCGATTCAAGAAAGGGATCCGAGCAAATGTTCACATGCAACAATCCTGTCCCGTAGAACTGCGCAGTGGACATGGAGCTCTTGAGCCTGCTGTCCAAGTGGCTTCAGGCTTGACTCGGAACCTGTGTGTGTGCATGAGAAGTTTAATCTCTCGTTGGCTTGACTTGCTTAACTGCGGCGAGCTCTGGGCCTCCTCAAGCCAGGCTGCACTGCTCGGATCTTCATCTTCATGTCTTCCCAGCGGAAAGTCAGTTGCTCATTACAGATAATTGCCAGAATATTTGAAGGGAAAAAGGAAGGCTGAAATGCTTGGACCTACTGCTTGGACCAACCACTGTTCATAATAGGAGGATGTCTTTTTTTTTTTTTTAATTATCCTTAAAAAAAAAAAAAAGAAAAGAAACAAAACAAGACACAAATAATGCATGAAGGCCTCCTGATTATAAGAGGCAAACAGGACGGGCTGGGAGTGCCGAGCAGAAGGCCTGCAGGTGCTGTCTGTGTCCCAGGGGCCTCATCTTTCCTGCTGCTGCGTGATTTCCTTGCTTCCTGTACCATGCGCCTAGGCAGGGATGTTCTTAGAATCTCATCTTTTTTAAAAGCACAGCTGGTAATAATTTTGGGTTCATTGTTTTATGTGCTACTGTTTTAAAGTATTCATTAGTTCTTTCCTTGTCAGTGTGTTAGCATGAATCTTTTTTTTTAATGACCGAATGCTGTTCTCTAAATGAATGTGCTGTTTCCTCCCAGTGGCCAGCTCTCTGCTGGACAGCTAGGTTCCCCCCAGGGATGCTGTGTGTCCCCACAGTGCCGCAAGGGGGTCACAGTCAGTCGCGCCTAAGACTCAGGTGCGTGTTCCTCTGCAGGTCAATCCTGGATCCAAGGAAGGGTTAGCTGCAAATTCCGCTGCGAGGAATTCTCCCCCGCCCCCTGGCCAGCACCAGGCTCATGTTTTAAATGTATGTTAAAACATGGAAATGTGTGTTAGCTGTCACTGCCGTAAGTTTCAGCAGGGTGGGAGAGCTTTTCCCGGGCCTCACCCCATGTTGGTTGTGCTCCTGGCCTGTGCCCATTGCCTTCGGTATGGGTGTTGATCCATTACTGATGGAGGTGTTCCTTGTGATTTGTAAATCTTGTCTTTTAAATGAATTATGGGTGCTCTTTGCTGTCTGTCATACTCTGTTTCCCCTTAGATCACGACTTATTTTCACATTTTGAATGTATTTCTCAGTGCCAGGATTGAAACATTTTACAAACTTTGCCCCTCTGTAATTGTAAAAGATGTGGTTGTGCCATTAGCTTATTTAGTTCACAGTATAATTGCATATGCATTTTTTTTGTTGTTGTTTTTGCTATTACAAGCACCATGCAGAAAAACATTTTTCCTTTGATTTGGGGTGTAGGTCAGTTATTTCTTTTTACACTTGAATGGTGGTCACTTTTGGGGGTAAAAGCATTTTTGTTTATATTTTCTGTTATGTTTCTTCAAGATGCATCCCTAGAAATGGACCCATCTAATCAATGAGTAGAAAAATCTTTCTAAGATTCCTGTTCCCAGCGTACAGGTCCCAAGCTGCTTTCTCCCAGAGCAGATGTGGGAGGTGGCTGTGACCTGCTCTGGGATGCCCAGGTGTTTGCCCTGTATGCTTGCCAGCATCAGCGTAGGGCCTCATCTTGCGGGGCCACAGTCCTGACAGCTGGAGGCCCTGGCCTGGCCCCGCAGACTCAGATGGCATTGGCTGCACGGCCCGATCTGTGCTTGGAGGCTGCTGTTGCCCTCACCAGCTGCAGCTCCCCTCCAGCGGACACTGGACATCCTTCTCCTGCAAATAAACCACGCCCTGGCCACAATGTGACCATGTGCTCGGCGGGTGTTTTGAATAACAAGACCCCAGACTCCGTGTTCCGCGACGGGGAGTTGGGGAGCTGTCTCCACAGGGCTGCATGTGCACCGAGGCGGCCTGTAAATGCAGTGTCTCTCTCCAGGTGGTGATCAACGGGGGTGCCACTTCCAGCGGCGAGCAGGACAATGAAGACACCGAACTCATGGCCATCTACACCACGGAAAACGGCATCGCCGAGAAGGTAGCACCTGTGCAGAGACGCAGGCGGGCTGTGCGTGGGCCATGTGTCGTCCAGCCGTCTGTGTGTGTGCATCCTGTGGAGGGAGCCGCGGTCGTGAGAAACACTGCTTTGGACTTGTGTCAGCGGCCATGCAAATGAGAGCCGATAGGGACTGGTACTGCGTTTTCTTTCTTTTTTTATTAAACTGGACTGAGTTTTTTTGTTGTTAATTTTTTAATGTGAAAGGTAAATTTTTACAGAAAGCGAGGAAGAAGCAGAGGGAGAGATCTTTCTTCCATGTGGCCCCAGTGACTAGAGCTAAGCTGAACAGGAGCTTTTTCTGGGTCTTCCCTGTGGCTGCAGGGTCTCAAACACTTGAGCCATCCTCTGCTGCTTTCCCAGGCCAGGGAACTGGATGGGAAGTGGAACAGCTGGGACACAAACCAGCACCCGCATGGGATGTCAGCGCTGTAGGCAGGAGGATTAGCCTGCTGTGTTACCATACCAGTCCCTGTTGCTTTTGAACACCTCAGCCAGGATGCCAGAGGAAGCTGTCAGGGCCTGGAGTCAGGTCTGGGCATACAGTGGCTCAGGGAGATAAGGGAATTACTAAAGTGCTCTGGATGTAAGTGTTCTCAGTGTGTGTGTGTGTGTGTGTGTGTGTGTGTGTGTGTGTGTCTAATTGTTTACTTTTTTGAAAGGCAGAGGTACGAAGGGGGAGGCAGGAGAAAGATGGGAGACAGATCTTACAGTCTGTTGGTTCACCACTGAAATGGCCTCAACAGCTGCGAGAGAAGAGCGAGGTGTGAAGGGCAGTGTGAGTGAGCTCTGCCGGGCTGGGGCTGTGATGGATGGAGACTGGCAGCCCGGGGGAGGCCGTGCGGGTCTCCCGTGTAGAGACAGGGGCCACGTTCCTGAGTCTTTGCTGCTGCTGCCCCAAGATCTGCCTCGGCAGGCAGCAGACGCAGGCACGCTGGTGTAGGATGTGAAGTATCTTAGCGATTGCATTAGATGCCCTATTTGTGTTCTGGATCATCTTCGTGTATGTTGTTAAGAATTAGAGGAAATGGACTGTGTTTAAGTGGAAATGAAAGGCAGCTATTTGAAAAGACCGATGAACTTAATCTTTGGTGGATCTGATTCAGTTGAAAATAAACGAGAAAACCCTGAACCTACCTTAACCATGTGACGGAGGTGGAATGTACAAGGGACCACTGCGTATAACTGCGTGTAACCTGCTGATCACCAATGTAAACTCCATCAGGACTTGGCAAAGAGCACCCCCTCAGCCACGTGCACCTCACTGTCTGTTGCAGTCAGTCCAGGCTTGGGGGGGTACAGCTGTCTCACTGGTTCACGTGGCATCTCGGGCTGCTCCTGCACAGATGCCTGCAGGACCCAGTGCCTCAGCACCACAGTCCCCCAGGCGTCTGCCCGACCGTGAGAGTCAGTCTTCTTGACTCCTCTGGTCCCCACACTGTCATTTTCACGTTTGTTGTGGACATTTGCCTTAGCTCCGTTTCTGAATGGTCAGCACCCTTTTGGCGAAGAAAAACTGCGTGTGTGTTCACACGTGTCTGTGTGGCCACTTTGACCTTCCTTAGCCTGTCCACTCGTGGAGGTGGACAAAGGTGAAGTCTGTGGATCAGCTGCCTTTATAGTTACAACTCGCTGGGGGTTTCTAGGAAGTTGGTGCTTATGGTAGTATCACGGACAGGATGTGCTAGTCGGTGAGTTCCCGGATGTTTCTGATGCTACCCTTGGTTATGTTGTGAGCCTGGAGGATGGTCTGCCTGGGACGCCGTCCACGGGCTGGTGGTGAAGTGACCTTTGTGAGTGAGGTGGTCATTCCTGGTTGCCTCGTGTCAGCGGACTGCTCACCTCAGCTTGCGAGGCCCCGAGGAAGGTTCCATGCTGTGCTTGGAGAGACTGTCAGCAGTGGCTCTTTCGTGGTTCATTACAAGGGAAAGGAGACAACGAGCACCAGCCTCCCGTGGGTCTGGGAGGTTCCAGGCAGAGGCTCTCTCACATCCTCCCCTGGCACAGCCACGCAGTGTGCCGTTTCCCAGCCAGGATACCTGGAGTACTTTGGAGGGCTGGATGCAGTCTGGGCATCCAGGGTTTTCTGTGGGCGTGGGTCAGCAGCTATGGTTGCCATTGACTTGAAGTGGGCAAACTAATCCTGCCCAACTCAGCCGCACACCTAAAATCACACCGTCAGCCTCAGCGACTGAACTGGCCTGAGGTTGCTGCAGGGGTCAGACTATGCCTAGAGCCCAGAAGCCTTGGCTCCACGTGTGGGCCAGACCTTTCCCAAATGCACCCCATGCCAAACCACTCACATGTACACTTTCACCGCTTTTGCCAACAAATCTTGAATAGGATTATGTTGCGTGTGCTGCCAGTGTATGTCAGTTCATGGATGTGTCAAGAGCAGGTGTCAAAGCAAAGAGCCAATTTCCTGGTGCCAGAAGGGGATTGGTCCTTGGAAATCCTCATGTCAGAAGTGGGTCATTTTGAGCTCAGTGTTTGCAGTAGTGATGCTGGAAGGACCAGACAGAGCGCCTTTGAGAGTCGGGATGATGCATCCACCTGCAGGCCAGAGGGTAGAGATCTCCCAATGTCGTTGCTGTTTTTAAGCTTGTCTTTGCTTTGACCCATCTTTTCATCTGCCAGTCCACCGGCATCCATTGTTTAAAGGAATATTTTCCTGTCAAAGGTCAAACCTGGCTACATTTGGATCAGCTCAAATGTCAGCTTGCACCAGGCGTGTACACAGCTTCAGGGTTTGGACAGCGAGGCTGAAGTTTGTTGCTTTTTGCGTTAAAGGGCGTGGAGCCCCAACTCCGGTTGGAGAAGTGAGGGGCAGACACACAGAGTGAGCACATTCTATGGACCAAGTTTGGCTGTCAAGAGGGCGAGATACAGTCAAGGATTAGAATGGCAGCATGGTGTGTATGTATGTACTTTTTTTAATGATCTAGTTATTTATTTGACAGGTGGAGTTAGAGGACACACACACACACACACACACACACAGAGTGACTGTGATAACCAAGGCTTTTCCCAGGTTTCCCACATGGGTGCAGGGGACCAAGCGCTTGAGTCACCTTCTGCTGCTTCCCCAGCTATATTAGCATGGAGCTAAATGGGAGGTGGAACAGCCAGGATTTGAACCAGTGCCCATCTGGGGTGCCAGCCCGGCAGATGATGGCTGCCTGTGTTACAGGTTTGCATTTTTGCCTTCTGTTAGATGCTTTGTTTGCTAGACTATAAAATATTCTTTTTAAAAATATAAAGTGGTGTGCAACTTGGACCCCAAGAAAAGCTAGAAGCCACTCATAGAATTTTAGAAACCAGAGAAGTTTTGGGGTTCTCTGCAGGAACCAAGGTTACCTTGTGTTTTCCCTGGGCTCAGACACCGAGTGAGCTCTGAAGTGATGTTGAAGCTGATTGGGCGTGCCTGGGTATGTCTGCACAATAGTCGTAAGTGTTGGTATTTGTGGTTTGGGGCACAAAAAGTATGGGGTGATTAATAACATTTAGCCAAATCTTTAGTGCTGATGGGATGGGAGAAGTTTGTTCTCTAACGCGTAAATACGTGTCTAGTCTCCTGTGTGTCTTTAAGTCAGTTGGAGTCCATGTGTTTGTCCACTGTTGTGTGAGTAGCGATGTTGGGTGGAAGGATGTGGGGCTTTGGTTCTGGGTTCCTCAGCCTTTCTGCTTGCAAGGGTGGGCTGGGTGGGAGTGAGGTCAGTGGCCCTGCAACACTGGACCCTCTCTGTGCATGCAGCCTTGGGGTCAAAGGGCACTTGGGGAGGAGTTGAAACTGAGGGATCTCAGCCCCTCCAGTTCTACAGACTGACTGAGCAGGCACCCTTACACCGTCCAGCAGTGGTACCCGAACCGGACTCGGCATCGCAGGGGTATGGCATTCTGCTGCCACTGTGGCTAATGCTGAGCGCCTGTCCAGGCCCATGCTCACCAGCACCTCCTTCTCTCCCTCCCTCGCAGAGCTCGCTTGCCGAGACCCTGGACAGCACTGGCAGCCTGGACCCCCAGAGGTCAGACATGATCTACACCATAGAAGATGTTCCTCCCTGGTACCTGTGCATATTTTTGGGGTTGCAGGTAAGATGGTTCCTATAGGGTGTGGAAAAACTCCTTCTGGAGTTTTGAAACAAGCATCGAACCACAGCTCCAGGTTTATTACATATGATGCTTTTGAAGCAAAACGAGGCAGGGGAATTGTGAGCATGAGTGTCACAGCAGAGGGGGAAGAATGGAGCAGGACAAGAGGCTTGTTAGGGCCCAGGAGCCGGCAGGAAGAGTGGCAGAAAGGAAAGGAGAGGTGAAGCAGAAGTTACGTGTTGTCACTGAACTGTGACTTTGCTAGCTAAGTCCTAGCAAATGCTGTCTGGCAGCTTGGGGGGCTCAGGACATAAACGGGAAGTATCAGGTTCTCTCTGCCCCCTTCCCATGCTGAGGGCTGCTGTATCTGCTGAAGCATCAGAGGGGGCCCTGGCTTGACTCAGCCTCTTGAAGCTGCAGGGCTGGCGCTGAGGTCTCAGTTCCCACTGTCTGTCTCTTGGTCAAATTGGTATCATCTGTTCACCCCGTGGAGCCTCAGAGCCCGGGTGGATTTGTTCACCTGCACGTGGGACTTCACCTGCTGACAGCCAGTGCTTGGATCACGTTTCCAGGCCCCCCCATTCAGGAACCAAAGCACATGGCAACCTGGACCAAAATGTGTCTAGAGAGAAGGAAGATGGTAGCCAGAGGAGCTGAGTGTTCTGGGTGAAGTTTGGCTTGGCTCAGGTGTGTTCGGGAGTCAGGCTCTGTGGCATGTTTTCATTCTAAGTGTTCCTCTCATTGGTAAGGACGGGAGACCCGGCCTGTGTCGTGATGGTACCCAGACCGAAGGGCTCTCAGAGAGCTTCAGAAAGGTGTGGTCTGTCCCCTGGCACACACTCACGTGCCTGGGCTCTGTGGGCAGCAAGCAGCACATCTGGCAAATGCAGGCAGGAGCTGGGAGCTCTGCAGAGGAAGAGTAGAGCAGTCACGGGACAGACTACAGCCAAGCCCCTAGGGAAGGGAGTCGTGAGTCCTGGGACTGTCCTGGACTGTCCAGCGAGGCCCCCCAAGGAGCAGGGAGGGGCCTCTCTCAGAGCATTCCCACGTTCCCACGGCTGCCGCACGCCCTTCACCTTCCCTGGTTGGAGCAGATGGGGCCACGTGGGCCAAATGCTGCTAGACCACAGAACATGAAGGAAAACGTCCCGCAGCTTGTGTAACTCTAATCCCCAGATCCGAACGGATTAAAAAAAAAAGGAGACTAATTATTTCAGGAATGTAGCTATACAATTTTACATAAGATATTACCAAAGCTAATCCTACTAGGGGGTGGGGGGGAAACAACAAACGTGACTAAGCGGGATTTGTTTCAAGAATGCCAGCCCAGGTTCTAGGAGCAAAACCCTCTGGTCTTGGCCGTGGATGCTGAAAAAGCCTTGAGGGGGCCGGGGTGAAGCGACTGTGCTAACCCCAAATCCCACATGCAAAATGCCTCTCCAGCTTGGATGGGGGACTTGCTGTGTGCTGGCCTGAGCTAAGGCATGGAGCCTGTGCAGATATGAGGGTCTGCAGAGAGCTAGAAAAATGCGTATCCTGAAGAGACCACATGTGAGTGTCAACACTTTTGCGTCACCTTTTAATTGCTTCTTCCACAAACTTTGTGAAGTTTCCTGGTCCCAGTGAGTACTAGGACCAGAAAACAGCGCAAAGGAGGAATACTGAAAAAGAAGAAAATATGCGTAAACAGATAATAGAAATGTACCTCTGAAAAAGCAGAGCCTGCCTCCAGGTGGGCTCAAGATTTATTTGGAAGGCACTGTAATGGAGACATCTTCCATCACTGGTTCACCCCCAGATAGCCACAACAGCCAGGGCTGAACCAGGCCAAATGACAGGAGCCAGGAGCTCCGTCTGGGTCTCCCACGTTGAGTGGGAGGGCCTCAAGCTCTCAGGCTGTCCTCCCAGGCACATTTTTTAGGGAGCTGGGTTGGAAGTGGAGCAGCCACGGCTTGAACAAGCACCCATGTGGGATGTTGATGTTGCAGATGACTGTTCAGCTTGCTGCACCACAATGCCAGCTTCTCCCAGGCTCTTTTGCAGAGCTAGGGGGAGTGCATCGCTGGGGAGGGAGCTGGGAGACACGAGAAGGGGCTGACTCTTGTCCACTGTCTGTCTGGCCTGCAGCACTACCTGACATGCTTCAGTGGCACCATTGCCGTGCCCTTCCTGCTAGCAGATGCCATGTGTGTGGGTTATGACCAGTGGGCCACCAGCCAGCTCATCGGAACCATCTTCTTCTGTGTGGGAATCACGACTCTACTACAAACCACGTTTGGATGCAGGTGAGCCTGGGCCACTAAAATGGAACACCCGTACCCCTAGGTCGTAGCGCCCTGTTCTCCCGGGGCTGCCGGGAAGGGCCAACTGGAGTTGGGGGAGTATCGTGGTATTGTCCCTGTTCCTCCCCAGCCCAGCCTTGCAGGAACCTCCTCCCTGTGCCCAGGCCCTGCACACCATGCAAGCTGGGACCTGAGCTTCCCACCCCACCGCTTGTCCCCTGGCTGGCCTGGCATGTTTTTTGTTCAGCTCCCTGCCCTGGCCTGGCCTATATCTCCATTTCCAGCATCGCTCCCTGGCTCCAAGGCTCCGCTCTCCTACCCTGTGCACCCTCCCCTTTCCTGCTATATGTCTCCAACATCTGCATCTTCCTGGAGTGGTCCAGACTGCAGCTCCTCTCTGTTGAAGGCCAGATGTGCCCAGTGTCCAGGCTTGTCCCCGCTCACTGTCCCTCCCACCTCTGAGCCCTGCCTGCCACTGTCCTTGTACTTACCCTTGGCTACTCAGTGAGCTCCACGCTCTCAGGCCCTGTTGTCTCACCCTCCTGTACATTTGCTCCCCAGTGAACCCTGTATACCTGCTTGTCCTCTCATGGCTCACCCCCAATTCCTGGTATCCTTGTCCCCCTTCTGAGGTTCCCCCTGTGCATCTCGTGTTTGTTCTTCTGCCGTGGCCCTTCCTCCATTGTGTCTTGTCCCGTTTCCATCTTGCCTGCCCCAATCGTGTTGTTCGTCGGTGCCAGGGCTTTGGCTTGTTCCCCTTTGTATCTATGGGGGTGGAGCTGGTATGGGCAGGTATCGCGATGCCTTCTCCCACCTCTGCCTGCGAGCTTCCTTCTCCTCTCCCTGTCTTCTGCCCTTCTCACAGCACAGCCTCTTAGTCCCGAGGGCTCTGCTCAGAGGAGAGCCTGCCACTTCATCTCTTCTTTCTGCATCTCAGTAAGGCTTGGCCTTCCTCGCCACAGGCGACAGGAACCCACGTGGAAGTCACGTGGCCTGTGTCCCCATGGGTCAGAATCCTCAGGGATCGGTGGAGTTGCCCTTAGCTGGGGGGTTACAGGCACTATTGGGGCATCCTCGTTGACAGTGTAGGGCATTCCCTGGGAGAACAGACGGCAGCTCCCTCGCAGGTCTGTGGGTGATGTAGAGGTGCAGGGTGGCAAGCTCCTGGGGTCCCTGTGTCCTCAGCACCTGCTAGGCTGCCGACAGCCACAGCTACGCAGAAGGCAGTCTCCTTGGGTGGGGAGGACTCGAGAACAGGGGTGTCAGGGGTGTCGGTGACCTGCCAGGGAGAGGAGTTGTGGTCCAGCCCTTCCAAGGAGGCCTTTGAACAGCTTACAGTCTCATCCAGGTTTGAGGGTCTGTGTTCGAGTCCGGAGTGGATGGGAAAGCTTTTGTTGGCTGGCCACGGGACCTTTTCCTTATACACAGGACAGGGGTTCTTTGGGAAAATTTTCTTTCCCTGAGCAGCTGGTCTCAGCAGTGAGCTTATAGGCACATCTGTCTGTAGGCCTGGGCAGTGCCTGTGGCTGAGGGCAGTCAGTTGATTGGAAGAAGGGATGGAAAGTGACTTCATTCACTGCAGGACAGCCGGCCCCCAGTCTGCTCCCCCTGCCCTATCACATGTCAAGCCTGGTGGGCAGAGGCTGCCCTAGAGGGGCAACAGCGGGGAGAGCTGGGGGGAAAGGTGTCTGTGATTGTCTGTGATTGACTCAAGAGCCGCATAGAGCAGTCTACCCTGTGTAGTTCACACTGGAAAGTGCATTTGGGCTGAGGAAGAGCAGAAGAGCACCTGGCAGGCAGCTCAGGGACCCAGGCCTTGGAGCTGCCAGCTGCGGGCAGGAGAGCACCTGGCAGGCGGCTCAGGGACCCAGGCCTTGAAGCTGCCTGCTGCGGCTGCATCTGGGGTGGGCGGAAGGGAAGGAGTGTCTGTGTGTTCCAGGTCCAGAAGGCTTGGCCACGGTGGCTCTGCTTGGCTGCTGCCCCATGGGCCTCCATCTATGACACATGTTCCGTTGTCCAGCAAGTACTATGTGCCCCCAGGGGTGACGGTGTACCTTGTGCCTGCCTGGTGCTACTCTTGGCATTTCCAGGGCTTTTAGTTAGATGTTGACCAACAAAATGAGCCAGAGAAGAGACTCGATCCCACAGACAGCTGGTGACTTGGTTTCTGTAGATGTCAGTGACTCTCAGCAGAGGTGACCCTTTCCCTTTGTGACAATGTACATGACTGGCAGCAGAGACCCCTTGATGAGCAGGTGGCGAGTATGTGCGCCACCAGGCCTGAAGGTGGCACAGGATGGGGGAGGGTGCATTGTGGTCCTTGCTGAGGCTGACCAGCGGGGCCTGGCCCAAGGGTCTCTTGCATAGCCACAGAAACTGGGACCTGGGCATTGGGGTGTGTGCTGCTGGGGTGGGTGGCAGTTGAGAGTTAGCATTATGAGCTTGGATGGGTGTCCTTCCTGGTTTGTCCTTTTGGGAAATGAGGCGAGGCCCTCCCTAGGGTGTCTGGTGCGTGATGTTTCGCTGTCGCTTTTATGGATCTGCTGCGTCTCTGAAAGTGGCTGTCAAAAGTGTCCCAAGATATCTTTTAAAGATTTATTTTTATTATTTTTTATTGGAAAGGCGGATATACAGAGAGGAGAGACAGAGAGGAAGATCTTCCGTCCGATGATTCACTCCCCAAGTGAGCGCAACGGGCCAATACTATGCCGATCCGAAGCCAGGAGCCTCTTCCGGGTCTCCCACGCGGGTGCAGGTTCCCAAAGCCTTGGGCTGTCCTCGACTGCTTTCCCGGGCCACAGGCAGGGAGCTGGAAGGGAAGAGGGGCTGCCGGGATTAGAACCGGCGCCCATATGGGATCCCGGGCGTGCAAGGCGAGGACTTAACCACTTGCGCCACCGCGCCGGGCCCCCAAGATATCTTTGAGTGATAGGCTGGTCCTCTTCCTTCCGCCAGATTCTAATCACATCAAGGGAGGTAGCGCTTTAATAGACATGTGTCCTTCCTTCTGGAGATGGGGTTGAGAGAGGATGGAACAGCTGGGGCAGATGGGTCTTTGCCCTGAGCTTGAGATACCCCCGAGTGACACTCCCCCAGGACACACTATCCCAGGTGGTAGTGCAGGCCCTGAGACCCCCAAGTGTAGCAGGAGAGCAGCTGCCCTTCCCAGAAGCTGATGTTGGCTATTGGCCATGGTGGTCATGCGCTACTGTGGCTTCAGTGGAACCCTGCACTCTTGCTGTCTGAGAGTGCAGTTTCTCCCAGGGCTGCTCCTCACCCCCAACCTTGGTCCCTGGCACTTGGCTTTGAACAAGGTCTTAGCATGGAGTGTCGTCCTCGGGTTGGTTTGTGTTGTCATTCCAAGAGAGCAGGGCAGAGCCCTTTAGGGATCCCCTACCCTGGTGTCAGCAGTTCCCTGTCCCCCAGCTCTGCAGTGACAGCTGGGAATGGGTGGGGGAGGGTCCTCTGGGCCATCCCTCCCCCACCACGCTGGCCTTTTCCCAGATGTAGTGAGGAGAGAGTCCTGCGGCCTTTGCCGGGGTCGGGGGCTTGACTACCTCAGATCTCAAGGCTTAACTCTGCTGCGAGACTGCAGGTGGGCTCTCGCCTCCCGGGCCTTCACAGGCCTGCCCTGGGCCTGGCATGAGCCCACTCCTTTGCTGGCAGAGGTGGGGATAGGGCCAGGGGAGTCCTCGGAGTCAGCTTGGGAACTCTGAGCCTGCCCGGAGGCAAGCGCCTGGCTGCGAGCTCGCTGAGCTCAGGGTGCAGGCTCCAGGGCACTTCAGGGTCTGAGGTGTGAGGGTGCTGAGCCCTGCTAAGCTCGGAGAGGAGTGTGTGTGTGTGTGTGTGTGTGTGTGTGTGTGTGCGTGCAGGGGAGCGGGCAGTGATGGTTTTGGGCTGGGGCAAGATGGGGATTTCCCCTCACACTCCCTTTCTGTGTGTGTGTTTGGGTGCAATACGTGCGATATTTTTGAACAACCTGAAAATAACATTCACGATAATAGAAAATAAAAATAAAAATGGCACAATGGCTCACCCCTTCCGTGCACATCCCAACACTGTTCACAAACAACATCCAGGGACATTTATATCGTAGCCTTTGGGTCTCCTTCACCTGCAGGCGGGTCTGTGTTGCTTCCCCAGTTGTCCTTAGAGTACTTATCCTACCGTTCCCTGTCTGTCCCATGGGTCCAGTCAAGTTCACGTGGTGCAGTTGTTCATTGTGTCTTCCTGATTCTTTAATAAAGTAACCAGTTCTCCCCCACTGCTCCCCACTCTCGCTTTGCATTAGCATCTTTTTAAGGTGCAGGCTTGTGTCCTGGCCAGTGTTCCCCATCTGTCTTGTCCTCATGGTGCTGTTGGATTCTCCCCCCACAACCCTCTTTGTGCTGTGTGATGAAGGATGGGGCCAGGGGTGTGGCTGATCCAGCACAGGACATTCTAGGGCAGTTAGCACGAAGAGGATGTTAAGCCCTTGGCATTCTGCCACACCAGACAAGTTGTTTTCATTGGCTGCAGATAGACGTTGTACATTTCTCTGAGGAGTTTTACATGCAAGAGACAGCAAGCTGGGGAGCAGCGAGTTTGCCTCCCTTTCCTACCAGCTTCATTGCAAGCTCTGAGCTGGGCAGTGGCCTGGGCTCCTTTCTGCCCGTGACCAGCTGGTTTCTCCCAGCTCCCCCACCTCTTCCATTGTAAGAGGATCACAGCAGAAATCATTAGTGATTGTCATCGAGGTAAGACGGGCATCGGGGAAGGCAAGGCGAAGGGTGCTGCAGGCAGGGGTTGGAAGCCTGATGCTACCTCACCTCCCTGAGGCCTGACAGGGCGGGACCTGCTGCTCCTGGCTTCTGGCTTCCGAGGCAGAGTCCTTCAGAGCTCACAGTGCTGTTGGATCAGCTCCCTGCTTCCCTGCTTTGCTCCTTCAGCTCCAGTTCTTCTAGACAGGCTTCCCTTCAGAGCCGTGAATTTCCTGTTTCCTGACATTGCTGCCACTCAGGATG